GGTGGTTAAACCCTTCACACCAAGCATCGGATACAACCTCACACAAGCATCACTTGAAAGCCACATCGCCTCAAAGCGAAACAATTTACTTCTCTTTTCCTCCGGCATTTTTTCATCAAATTTCAATAAAATAGGAGCATGATCCGAGTGACATATAGGGAAATGTATTACCTCGAGAAATGGAAAAGGCGAGCACCATTGAGCATCTGCTATGAATCGATCAAGCCTTTCACGCACAATAGTCTCCGGTGAGGTACCTCGCTGCCACGTGAAAACATTCCCCTTAAAACCAAGATCCCGCATGCCACAATCATCCATAGCATTCCGAAAGGCATCTATCTCCCTCTCTCTGCGAACCACACCCCCCTCTTTCTCATGCATACCCAATGTCTCATTGAAATCACCCATCATAATCATCGGAAGAGAAGATTTTGATCGTATGTGTCTCATCAAATCCCATGTACGATATTTATTTGACGCTTCCGGCCATCCATAAACTCCAACCACAACCCATTTAGGAGACTTATCAGAATCACATATCCCCGCTTCAATATGATGCATAGAGTACGAGCAAATACTGACATTCACATCACTCCACCACAAACCAAGTCCACCTGATCTTCCTTGACTATTTATACAAAGACCACTACTAAACCCACACTTATTCCTAACCACCTCCAACCTTTTTTCATCAATTTTTGTTTCTAACACAAAAACAAAACTCGGCCTATCCCTCCAACACCAGAGGGCATTAACTCGCAATGGGTTGCCAAGCCCATTGTAGTTCCAGCTTAGCATTTTCATGGCTTTTCGCGGGATTGGTCACTGCCAACCTCCGCTACTAGATTGTCAATCATCACATCATCATAATCGATATCTTGCTTTGCATTTTTTTGGTACTTTTAGAACGTAATCCACTGGTGCATCCTTACCACTGTCCATATTCTTTCTTTTTCCTCCAGACATCTCTCCTATTTTTCCCTCCAACCCCAAATCAGCCGTGTCACCTCCATGAGTTTGAGTAGTCTTCTTGAACTTTTTCCTCTGCCCCCGATTAGAAAAGACAGAAGAAAGTGGGTTAGTAGCCCCACCAATTAAAGAGGATTGAGAAGCATTATCAACATCTGGCACATCAACATTAACTAATGCTTCCCCCACCACGTTATTATCATGCACAATAACCTAATTTTCCTCCCCCAGTATACTCTTCTCTAGTTCAATTCTTGCCCCACTCCCCTCCTTAGTAACAAACAGAGCTTTCTCCCCCCCCCCCTCCGCAATGCTTCCCATCTCTTCTAACTCATTCGCCCTCCCCTTTCTTGGAATGGCTTTGAGTGCCGTCCCCCACCCCAATTTTTTCTCCTTCTCCTCATCCGAAACCACCTGACAAAACCTCTCAGAGTGCCCCATAATTCCACAAGCAAAGCAGAAAAATGGAAGCCTCTCATATGCAAAGTCAACTCTTGATTCCCTACCCTTTTGTTCTTAAACCGCTGAAAACGCCTCAACGGAAGTGAGGTATCAAGCATTACCTTGGCACGCCTATACCTTCCAAAGCCAAGCTGTAATACCCCGTATTTTTATACGTATTTTAATATAAATAAGTATTTCTTAAAGTATTTAAATAATTCGAAATGAATTATTAATGGTTTTTATTAATTTAAAAAGAATTATTTTAATTAAAAAGTTTATTTTTAATTATTTAATGATCTTGAAAATATTTTATTTTATGATTTAAATATTGAGGCATATTATTTTATAAAAAGATAATTTTTAAAGTCAATGGTATTTAAGGAAAGTCAAAATACTAGTTTGACTAGAAAAGGAATTATTAAGGGTAGTAAAGGAATTTTAAGTAGGAGGGATATTGAGAGGGGGTATAAATACCCATCATATGTCTAACGTGGAGAGCACCCAAAGGTAAACTCACTCTCCTATTTATTTTTGTTTTATTTTCAATCACCACACACACCACCACCACTGCAGCCACCAGCACGTGTCGGTGACAGCAGTGGTGTCGGTGCTATTATGGCCGAACAAAAAAAAAATTCTTTTTATTTTTAATTAAATCTACCCTAATCTAATTATTGTTTTTGGGTTTTGTGATGATGTTAGGATGTTTAATAATAAGTATTTTGTATATTAAGTTTTAGATTTGGTTTTGAATTATAAAGCCCCAAATTGAAACCATAGGTTTCTAAATTAATGTATATTGACAGAATTTGATTGTGGTTGATTAAAAACTATTGAAATTAATGTTTTTAAACTAAATTACAGCAATTTTATAAGTTTTAATAATGTTGGATTTTTTATATATAAGTTATAATTAAGTTTATTAAAAGGCTTTTTAATTACCCATTAATTGGGATTAAAAGTAAGGGTTTTAAATAAAATTTCAGATTATTATTGAATTGTGATGTATGAATTATTTATGGTGAATTGGTAATTGAAATTAATTTTATTGGCATGTTAGATATGAACCACACTTTTATTATTGGCATGATAGAGAGCATGTTTAATTAAACTAAGCGTTTAATTTGGTTTGAAATATTAAAAAGGAATTTCATTATGGTTCATATAATTTTTATTGATGCTTTAAGCATATGAATTGAGCTAATAAGTGTCTTAGTACACGGGAATAAAATTTTTTTCCGGTGCTTATATGCACTTAAAGTGTTTCTAACACCAAGGGATAGGATTTGCGAAGCATTATGCGTTTAAGGTGTCTTTGACACCGAGGTAGATTAAAAAGGGTTCAACTATTAAATTTAGGTGGTCACTCATTATTCAAGAATTAAATTGGTATGTTTGATTGCTTGAATGAAGTGTAATGTTTGATTGTGTAATGGTTTGAGAGTCATCACCAAGTATAATAATATGTAAACAGCGTAAAGTGAAAGAGATTACACACCAAAACTCTTGGAACGTATATACCTTGAGTATGAACATATGGGGGGAGTTATGCGACTTTATATTTGACCATAACTTCTACACGATGTATTTTCCTTTTTATTTATCTATTGCGCAGGACGTCCAGTCACTTCATGTGACATTTGCCTACCTGGTTAGCTCCCGGTGTAGTTTACCTCAATTTATTTGAGGCAGGGATTTGGTTGGAAACCCGTTCAATGTGTAATCAAAATTAAATAAAAAATTGTATTGGTCTAGTTAGGTGTTGAATATTCTGTGTGCTTGTAAATAGGGGCAACACGGTAAGTTGTGCGTTGTTAGGATGAAAGCATGTTAGTGTGTTTTATTACGCTTATGTACTCAGCATTGCTGATTGTGTGTTTGTATGTTTGTTTGGCCTTGTCTTTACCTTGGCCCTACGACGACTCATTTCTAATGGCGAGTAGTGGGGACAAGTAGAGAGAAGCTTTTCAGGTGATTTAGCTTATTCATGAAAGGCATGAGTGAAGAGCGAATCATGCTTAGTTCTCATAGGAATATACTGTGTTTTATTTGTCTTGAATATTATTTATTTTATTTTGATCATAAGACTAATGCAAAGGTTTTAAATATTGTTTGGTTTTTAAGGGCCTACAGTGGTTCCAAGTTGTAGGTTGACTTTGTTTGACTTATTTTGACTTTTTTTTTCGTTTGGTTTGACTTTTTAAGTTAACTTGTTTTAAATGGTTTTAAAAGTATTCTTTCGTTGTGTGTGAGTCTTTGATATTTGCCTTAGTCGTCACTACAAGAATGAAGCAAATTTCCGATGGAAATTACGTCCCTCGGAAAAAGGCACCTTTTCCGAGGGAAATGGATCCGTTGGAAAACTGGGGGATTTCCGACGGATTCCTGCAATTTCCGATGGAAATATCCGCCGGAAAATTTCCGAGGGAATGATTCCGTCGGAGAAAGTCATTTCCGACAGATTTTCGACGGAAATTTCCGCCGGAAAATGGTTGAACCTTGGATACCAATTTCCGACGGAAATTTTTGTCGGAAATCCGTCGGAAAATAGTTCTGTGCATAGGAAACCATTTTGTCTGACGGAAATTTCCGTCGGAAGATTTGCGGATCTAAAATCAGAAAACTTCCATTCGTTTTCACTTTTCCCGGTTTTTTTCATTCCTTCGTCCTTCACGCCTCTTCATTCCTCCATTGTTGTTCACGCCCATTCCTCCATTGCTCTTCACGCTCCATTCAACCCACAACCAAAAACCCAAAATCACGAACCCGACATTAATAATCCGGTTAGTTTTTTTAATGTTAATGTTTATCTTAATTTATTAGTTTAATTTTTAATATGTAATGTTAATGTTAATGTTAATGTAAGGTGTATGTTAGTTTATTAGTTTAATTTTTAATATAATGTAGGTTGATTATTGATATGTTAATTATGTTTTTATGTTAGTTTAATTTTTAATATAATGTATGTTGGTTATTGATATGTTAATTATGTTTTTATGTTAGTTTAATTAGTTTAGTTTATTAGTATAATGTATATGTTAGTTTAGTTTAGTTTAGTTTAGTTTAGTTTAATTTAGTATAATGTATATGTTAGTTTAGTATAATGTATATTAGTTAAGTATAATGTATGTTAGTTTATATTAGTATAATGTATGTTATTAGTTTAGTTTATATTAGTATAATGTATGTTATTAGTTTAGTTTAATGTACGTTAGTTTAGTTAAGTTAAGTTTAGTATAATGTATGTTAGTTTAGTTTGGTATAATGTATGTATGTTAGTTTAGTTTAGTTTAGTTTTGTTTAGTTTAGTACAATATATGTTAGTTTAGTTTGGTATAATGTATGTATGTTAGTTTACTTTCGTTTAGTTTAGTATAATGTATGTTAGTTTAGTTTAGTTTAGTATAATATATGTTAGTTTAGTTTAGTATAATGTATGTTAGTTTAGTTTAGTATAATGTATGTATGTTAGTTTAGTTTAGTATAATGTATATATGTTAGTTTAGTGTTTCAATATTCTAAAAATGTTTGAAATGAATAATTTTCATAATCATACGCTTAGATATATACCCGTTGAAGTTAGAATCATGAAACGAAGAGAGCGGAGCTGGATGTATGATAGATTGGATGGGCGTTCTATTAAGCCTGAGTTCTTGAAAGGGGTAGAGGAATTCATACAGTTTTGCGAAGATCATCGTAAGACTGCAAAGAATGAATATAGGTGTCCTTGTGTTAAATGCAATAATAGACGTTTTCAAGATCCGAACACAGTAAGAATTCATTTGTACAGTAAGGGATTCACTCCTCGTTACTGGGAGTGGCTGTGTCAAGGGGAAGGGTTACCTGAATCCTCAGTAGAAGGCCAATCAAATGAATATCGTGATATGGTTATGGATGTTGTTGGTCATAATTATGATCGATCGGGTACTGAAGAGGAGGAGCCTAACGCTGAAGCAAAGCGTTTTCTTGATTTGTTGAAGGCGTCTGAACATCCATTGTATGAAGGGAGTTCGATGTCAGTTTTGGAGGTGGCGGAAAGAATTACTAGCTTAAAGTGTGAGTACAATTTTTCGCACAGGTGTGTTGATGGGTTCGTTTCATTGTTGACAGAAGCGATCCCTGGCAACAGCCGTTTGGGTGAGACATTCTACGATGTTAAGAAGGTTGTTAAGGGGTTGGAGCTGCCGCATGAAAAGATTCATGCATGCCCTAAGGGATGTATGTTGTTTTGGAAAGAAGATGCTGAGCTTCCTACATGTAGAGTGTGTGGCAGTGATCGATACAAAAGAACTTTTAAAGGCAGCTTGGTTCCAAAGAATGCGTTATTTTATTTCCCGATCACATCTAGGTTGCAAAGGATGTTTGCAACGAAGAACATTTCAGAGGAAATGAGTTGGCATGCAAATAATCCTCGTGTCAAAGGCATGATGGCACACCCTAGTGACACTGAAGCTTGGAGACAGCTTGATACCTTCTTCCCAGAACTTGCCTCGGATCCACGGAATGTTCGACTAGGGCTGTGTACAGATGGTTTTGCTCCTCATGGTAAGTTCGGGGGTCAGTACTCTTGTTGGCCCGTGATTTTGACCCCATACAATTTGCCTCCCTCAATGTGTATGAAAAGGCAGTTCATGTTCTTGTCACTGATAGTCCCTAGTCCCAAAAATTCGAAGGGAAATTTAGATGTGTACATGCAACCACTGATGTAAGAGCTGAAACAGTTGTGGGAAGTTGGCGCAAGTACCTATGATATATCAAAGAAACAAAATTTCAATTTGAGAGCAGCCATCCTATGGACCATTAGTGACTTCCCTGCATATGGTATGTTGTCTGGATGGTCCACGGCTGGTAAGAAGGCTTGCCCGTACTGCATGGAAAAAAGCAAGGCATTTTGATTGCAGCATGGCGGAAAAGTTTCGTGGTTTGATTGTCATCGTCAATTTGTTCCTGCAGATCATCCTTTCCGAAAAAGTAAAACAGCATTTTGCATAAACAGAGTTGAAAAAGGCTCACCGCCGCACATCATGTCAGGGGAGGAACTTTGGGAATGTGTAAAAGACCTTCCGAGGGCCACCAATGGGCTTGAATCACTGCAAGAGTTGAAAAAGGAAAAGAAAGGGTGGTTCAAGCAAAGTTGCTTGTGGGAGCTTACGTATTGGAAGCATTTGTTGATTCGTAACAACTTAGATGTCATGCACATTGAAAAAAACTTCTTTAATCAAATATTTCACACTGTAATGGATGTGAGAAGACAAACTTCTAACACACCTTCGGCCAGAAATGATATTGCCAAATATTGTAGGCGACCTCAACTTCATGTACAGGCTGATGACAGAGGGAATGAGGTCATGCCAAAGACCACATTCTGCCTCGATAAGGGTCAGAGGAGGGTTTTGTGTGAGTGGGTTCGTGACCTGCGATTCCCTGACGGTTACGCCTCCAATTTGAGCAGATGTGTAGATCTGCAGGCGTGTAGAATACACGGAATGAAAAGCCATGATTGACACGTGTTCATGGAGAGGTTATTACCTGTCGCATTGAGAGAATTGCTCCCTATTCATGTCTGGAATGCAATTACAGAGATCAGTCAATTCTTTAGAGACTTGTGTTGCTACACAATCACAGTCAGTGACATGGAACAGCTGGAAAAGAACATTGCCGAGATCCTTTGCAAACTGGAGAAGATTTTTCCACCTGCATTCTTCAACTCCATGGAGAATTTACCCATTCACTTACCGTACGAGTCAAAGTTAGCTGGACCTGTGCAGTATCGATGGATGTATCCATTCGAGAGGTAATGAACCCTTGATTTAGTTGTTGAGCAATCACAAATTCACCGTTTAAAATCATAATATACTTTAATTTCAGGTTCCTGAACCATATAAAACGGAAAATTGGCAACAAGGCTCGTGTTGAAGGTTCGATATGCAGCTCTTACCTAACTAAGGAGATATCAAATTTCTGCTCAAATTACTTCCAGCCGTCAGTTGACACAAAAACACGAGATCTGGGTCGGAATGTGAATGCTGATGTTGACACCTCCCTCGACACCAATGACATCCCAGAACTGTTTACGGAGGACACCGGTCGTGTGTCAACTGAGGGAAAATTGAGGTGGTTAGATGAAAAGGAATTTCAACGTGCACACTTATTTGTTTTATCAAACAGTGGCATATTAGGTGAATATGAAAGGTAATCCACAGTAACTAAATTGTTTCCATCATATGATCACGTGTACTGAGTTTCACGGTCATTAACAAGTTCTTGCTATCGTAGCAGGAAGTTTGAGGACCATATTCTTAGCACCCGTCCTACTTTGCGTAGAGAAGTTGTATGGGAGACATTCGAAACACAGTTCCCTAATTGGTTTAGGGACAAGGTCAGACCACTCTCAAATATAGGGATAATTATTGACTTCTGTATGTACAATCCAACTCAATTTTAATAATCCAAATATGATGTATTTTAATTTTATCTAACACTAATAGGTAACTGAAGAGAAACCAAGATCTGATGTGTTGCAAGCTTTGGCTATGGGTCTGTTCAAGAAAGTTCGCACTTGGAGCCGAATATTTGTTAGCGGTTTCAATTTCCATACGCAAGACTATGACAGACATAAGGGCACGATCAATTACGGTGTGTGTGTGTCCAGTCAAGATGGAGGAGAGTATTTTAGCATGTTACAAGACATTATTGAAGTTGTCTACACTGGTGTGATCCGTGAATACAAGACCATCTTGTTTAGGTGTAGTTGGATGGACTGTGGTAGGGGTATGAACATACATGAACAATACAAGCTTGTTGACGTGAATCACACTAAGAAATTCCCCAAATATGACCCATTCGTGCTGTCTTACCAAGTTGGTCAGGTATATTATGCACTATATCCGAGCCTCAAACGTGATCGGTTTCAATGGTGGGCTGTATTTAAAACGCAGGCAAGGTCCGTTGTGGATGCTCCTGTTGACCCGGAGTTCTTGCAAGGAACACAAACACGGGAATGCAGTACACTCTGCCCACCAACTGATATCCCAGACTACGGTGACGATGGTCATGCATTTGTTGTCTCCGAGGGTGAGGACGATGATATTGTGTTTGCTTCTGAAGACGAATCAAGCGTCGGTTCAAGTGACAACGAAGAGGGCAGTGACGAGGATGAGGACGACATTGTTGTTTTTGATGATAGTACCGATGATAACAGTAGTGATCGCAATAGTGATAGTAATGAGTATTTAGTGATTGTAATGAAAAGTATTATTGATTATAATAAATGATTGTAATGAATAGCTGTATTGATTGATATGAGGAATGTAACTGTTAACCTATTTATGTCTGTATATTATGCCCTTGAACTGTTTTGTAGGGAAGCATGGCCGGAGGAAGAAAGGGAGATAGCTCGGGGAGGAAGACGCGAAGATCTCAACCTTACCCCTCGTACCATGTGTCAGACAATCAGCAGGCCCCCGAGACCGCTGAGGATGACTCTGAGACTGTTCAGGGTCTGGGTGACACTCAGGTACCAGATTCGCTTACTCAGCATGAGGATCTGTCACAGCCCCGGAGCTCAGGGCAGTCAGAGCACGCAGGAGGGGATCTAGTGCCACGCCTAGACCCGACCACGCTCTAGTAAGAATATTAGATCAGATGTTAAATGCATTTCGTGGTTCGTATTTCTAATTATCAAAAGCTACTAACGTCCTTTTTGTTGTTCTGAAACAGGTTGATGACCAAATAGTGAAGAAAGCCGTCTCCGGTTCGATCCAGGGGCACTATACGGCGCCTTGGAGGAACTATGGAGAGGTTGACGAGGCCACGAAAAGTCATTGGTGGAACTTGTTCAGGGTATGTACCAATACAATTGTGTATTATTTTATTTGAAAATTTTTTTGTTGTTACGTTTTACGAGTTTTGATTTTGCAGCAAAAATTTACGTGGTCACCGGAGCTGGACAGTCATGTACGATCGGCATTTAAAGCTCGGGCCGGTACCCGCCTTCGTGACATGTTTTACACTGTCACGAAGAAGATGAAAGGTGTGAGACCGTATTGGGTGTCAGAGGAAGTGCACAAGAAGATGATGGAGATTCCTGACTCTGATGACACGTACAAGAAGCGGTCCACACAGAACAAGCTGAACCGAAGAGGCGGTTCCATGGAGAATGAAGTGGAGGCAACCCACCTCCAGGGTTCCGTATCATCCGTACAGCATGCAAAACGGATGGTCAGTATATGAGAATTGTTGTTTTTGGTTTTGCAGTAATTAAGTTTACATATTAATGTGATTTATTTGTGTTTATGTGCAAAGGCAGTAGAAAACCAAGGGAAACTGCCATCCGCTGCTGATCTGTTCCTGAAAACGCACTTCAAGGATGTGCCGGGAAAACGAAAGGTTCCGGCAAACAAAAAGTCCAAGGAGATTGCGGTAATAAATTCATTAATTTAATGTCGCTAAAATTTAAATTCAGTAACTAGGCTATGTTGGTAAAATCATGAATACCGTCCCAAAACTTAGTGAAATGCTTATAAGGTTCGTTTTCAATGCATGAACACTTGTAACTAGGCTATATTGGTATGTTAGTGCAAGTTATAGGTTAATTTGATAAGAAATGTGAAAAATAGGCAAGGTAGAACCCTTTTTGGCTCATTTTCCCTTGAAAATCACGAATACTGTCCCAAAACTTAGTGAAATGCTTATAAGGTTCGTTTTCAATGCATGAACACTTGTAACTAGGCTATATTGGTATGTTAGTGCAAGTTATAGGTTAGTTTGATAAGAAATGTGAAAAATAGGCAAGGTAGAACCCTCTTTGGCCCCTTTTCTCTTGAAACATCATTATTTCTTAATATATCTCGTCAATTTTCTGCAGGAAACATATCATAAAATGGTTGAGGAAGCAAGCAGTCATGAGTCTTCCAAAAGCCAGGATGAATTGTACTGGGATGCAGTAGGCGGGCGTAACAAGAAAGGCCGAGTAAGGGGGCTTGGTCGAGGTACTGAGTTGTACTATCAATCCCAGTCCCGAGGATCTGGGTCCTCTCAGCAGTACCACCCGCCGTCGTCTGTTGTGGCTGAGATCGAGGCTCGGGTGCAAGCTCAAATGCAGGCCCAAATGCAGGCCCAGGTACAGGCTCAAGTGCAGGCCCAGGTACAAGCTCAAGTGTAGGCTCAAATGGCGGAACTTGAGCGGAGGAACAAAGAGATGATGGACGAGATGTTGAGTCGCATGACCGGACTCAACACTCCATTCACGTGTTCACGACGATGCCGCCGCAGCCGCGAGACCCTTGGGACGACGACCCCGGTTGTGGGGGAGGCCCGACTTCTTTTCCCGTCGTGTAGCTTTTTGTTTCTTTTCACGTATTGTACATAATTTGAGATACAATGTAGGTTATTTAACCAAACTGAATGTAATAATTATAATTATTAATTTATATTGATTGATTTATTTTCAAATGAAATTTTATTATGTTTTAAACAGATTACAGTAGCGAAGAACAGGTCAATATACAGAGGGGAAGTGGAAGCAAAAAATAAAAAATAGAAAATAAAAAAATTTCCGACGGAATACAGTGGGGATTATTTTCCGTCGGAAATCCTCATTGTTCCGACGGATTTTTTCTGTCGGAAAATTCCCCCTTTCCGGCGGATTTTTTCCGTCGGAAAATTCCCTCTTTTCCGGCGGATTTTTCCGTCATAAAATTCCCTCTTTTCCGGCGGATTTTTCCGTCGGAAAATTCCCCCTTTTCCGGCGGATTGTTTCCGTCGGAAAATGCTTTATTTACGACGGATTTTCCAGTCCGTCGAACATTTCCTTTCCCCCAGCCACCAAGCTCCGACGCCTTTTTTCCGTCGAAAATTCCATCGGAAACGACCTTTTTTCCGACGAAGGGTTTTCCGACAGACATTTTACGGCGGAATTCCGTCGGAAATGGTCATTTCCGACGGAAATGCCCTATTTTTTGACGGATAATTTTCGTCAGAAATAAGCTTAATTCTTGTTGTGCGTTTTCATGGTGGCGGTAATGTCTTAGATTTTCCTTTTTCGTATTTTAAAAGGGGCAAAATGGGTATTTTAACGAAAAGGAATTTCTAGGGTGTTACACAAGCACGTCTTCCTCAATTTCCAGAATTTTCCCCATATCCCTAACTAGAGCTTTCACATACTCATCTGATCTGCTATTGAAGGGTAAATTTTTAAGTCTAACCCAGAAAGGTGATAGAGTAATCTCCACCTCCTCCGGTTGTTCATCGCCCTCCGCCTCCTTCAAGAGAATTAGCATATTGTCAAAACACCATGGACGACCTTCCGAGATCTTCTCCTTATCTCTCCAATGGAACAGTTGGATCGTAAAAAGGTTAGGGCATAGCATCCTCATTGCTAATCCATGGGCAGGAGCCCAAATATTTGTAATAGTCTTCTTGAAAGCATCAAAATTATACGATCGATCCGTCAAAATTTTCCCACACAGCATTAGTTCAAGGTTTTCTTCCCCTTCGACAGGGT